TTGCTACCAAGCCTGGGGACTGAGTTCAAAACCCAAAACCTACATGGTAGAAGGAAAGAAACTTCTCCCACAAGTTGTCCACACACATACAAATAAATGTGAAAAAAGATTTTTTTTTTTTGGTTTTATTTTTATTTTTTGGTCTTTTTTAGACAGGGTCTCCCTGTAGCCCCAGCTGGCCTGGAACTCACTATGTAGATCAGGCTGGCCTTGAACTCACAGAGATCCACCTGCCTGCCTCTGCCTCCCGAGTGCCGGGATTAAAGGCATGCGCCACCCCACCTGCAAAAAATGATTTAAAATAGGGAAACATCCATCAGAAAGCCTACTGCAGGGCTAGGGACATAGGTCAGCAGTAGAGTGCTTGGATACTGTGCACAAGGCCCTGGGTTCAACCCCAGCAAGAAAAATTTATTCCAGAGCACTTAGAGACTTCCCAAGACTGTCACAAATGAAAAGTTTAAAAATGGTGCAATGAAGGCCACCTCACACCTCTACCAGGCAGACAGCATCTATTGTTCTCTGTACCTAAAATGGACCATTTTTATCTTGGAACGTCAATGAAGTTCCATGAAAGCCCCCTTTGGCGTAAATATTGACTTAAAGGAGACAGAGCTAAACAACCACTACATGATGATTTGAGATAACAGGAAAATGTAATAAACCAAAATTTTAAGGATGGGAAATTAAGCTGTAAGGATACTTTTATAAACTTTCATGGAAATGCATGTACATCAACTTTATATATTAATACATAACGTACAATTATGAGACTGAAAATATGTTCCAAATATTACAAATTCCTAGGAATAAGCCACCAGGACGTCAGTAAACTATAACGAAGTCAGGTTAGAGAACAAATCTCCCAGCAGAAAGATCAGGTTTTCAACTAAATTAAAACACATTAGTGCCTACTATGCACTAGTCTCTGGTACAAATAAAAATACCCCATTTATCTAATCTTTTGAAAAATAATAAAAATTAAGAATTACAGAGCCAGGCGCGGTGGCCCATCCCTTTAATCCCAGCACTCGAGAAGCAGAGGCAGGTGGGATCTCTGTGAGTTCAAGGCCATCAAGGCCAGCCTGGTTTACATAGTGAGTTCCAGGCCAGCTGGGGCTACAGGGAGACCCTGTCTCAAAAATACCAAAAAAAAAGAAAAAAAAAAAAAAAGAATTTGCTTGGCATGGTTATGCATACCTAACAATCCTAGCTGTGGGAGGCTGAAGCAGAAAGATCCCAGTTCCAGCTCGGGCTACATAGTGAGTTCAAGGTCAGCCTAGGATATATAGTGAGGCCTTGTCTCAGAAAAAAAGAAAAAGAAAGCAAAAAAGAATTGCTACTATAAATTTTACAAAGTTGCGTTATCTCAAAAGGCATTAATAATGCCTTTTGAGATCTCTCTGGAACACCAACTTTTTATTCAACTGTACCTTCTGTAGTAAAGAACAGTTTTCTATCACTTGTTTAAAGTTTGCAGGTATGAGAAATTTTGTTAATGGAAGAGCCTTACAATACAAAGTAACAACAGTCACAGCTGCACAACCATTTTTGCTGGTCCTTAGGATGATACTGTTGTGTCTAATTTTTCTGTTGTGTACCCAAGGTGTCTTTCCAATTACAGTAATTGCCCTCTGAACAGAAGAGATTCGGGGCACAGGACTGACTGAAGGGGCCTGGACAGTCCTCAGAAACCCTATCCCTGCCACCTCCACTTCAGCACCATCCCCGAACCAGTCCCTATTCCTGACATCAACTGTGATGATGTAAGAAACGTGGTAGAGCACTTCCTTGGCTGGCCCAGGCCTTTCATCCCAGCACCTGTGAGGTAGAGGCAGTTGAGTCTCAGTGAGTTCCAGGTCAACCTGATCCATACAGTGAGTTCCAGGCCAGTCAAGGCTGCATAGTGAGACCCTGTCTCAAAAACAAAAACAAGCAAACATACAAAATCATTGCTTCAGGAAAAGTTTCTTTAACAGAAAAAGTAATTGGACTTGTAGCATAAACAATATTCTAGCAGGGGCTGCTTTACAAGGGGTAAGACTTCTGCCTCAGATAATGACTTGTGAGCATTCCAAGTAACTACTACGTAATTAGACTTTAAAGTTAAGGAGAACTTTCAGACAAATGTAAATTTCACTGTTCACTTGACATTTGTACAACAGGAAATCCCTATTTATATAGCTACTTTTCCAACTCTGTCTCAGATTAATACCCACAGTTCAAAATACTTTTAGGTAGTTAACATAACTTTAATATAATTATAGTTAATGTAAAGCCATATATAGTATATGCCTTTTAAACATAAAAAAAAATCAGCTAACTAAAACTATAAAAGAAAACGCTTGGATTTATTTACCCGACACTCTCTTCTGACCTCCCAGGCATTGCACAACACTGGTGCACTTCTGCACATGCATGCAATACGCTCATACACACAAAAGAAAATTTAAAAACCTTTATCTCCATTATTTCACAAACAATATTAGTTTTCATTTCTTCACCACTGCAACATCACACAATTTCACTGACTACATCCCTAAATCATGTAACTCATCAATTTCACTTTCAGGGTCTTTCCTAACTACAGGGTCTTTTCCACATGGATTCTAATATGGTGTAGTGACAATCAAAAAAGCTTTTCTTATAGTTCAATGGTTAAAAAGTGGCTGTTTTTGCAGAGGACCCAGGTTCAATTCCCAGCACCCACATGGTGGCTAACAACCGTCTGTAACTCCAGTTCCAAGGGCTCCAACACCCTCTTCTGGCCTCTGTGGGCACTGCATGTAGGTGGTACACTTACACACATACACACGCATTCATGCACATAAAATAATTTTTATAAAGACCTTCACATGTTTCAAAAACAACTGGAGATTCCATTCCCTTCCAAAGATCATCATCTTAGAGGATTTACTTACAAAGTTTGGGGCCAAAGTTAGGACTACACTGTACTTCCCTGGTGTGTGTGTGTGTGTGTGTGTGTGTGTGTGTGTGTGTCTTTTTGAGTGTCTCCCTGTAGCCCCAGCTGACCTGGAATGAAACTATGTAGACCAGGCTGTCCTTGAGATCCACCTACCTCTGCCTCCCAAGTGCTGGGATTACAGGCGTGAACCACCACACCCAGCTCTCAAGACTGTGTTACTTTCAAATCTTAAAAATAATCTACAACACAGAATTGTCCTAAACATTTCCCAGAGTTTTGTTATACTGTCATTCTTTAGAAAGTGTTTCACCTCTTAAAAGGCCGCCATTTTCTTCATTAATCGTGTGCTAAGAATTAAAATAACAAGGTGTCAATACTTTAAGTCAACTTCTCTTGCAGTTGACAAAGAGTTTCACTAACTTAACTGAACCCAAGTCAACAGAAAGGAACCGAGCGGGTGTGTGTGTGTGTGTGTGTGTGTGTGTGTGTGTGTGTGTAAAGGGAACTAGGGATGTGACAACACAGTAACATTTCTGTTTTACTCTTTCTACAGGAAGGATTTAAATGCAAATATAAAACATACAGTAATCTCACATTAACGTTCAGTAAAACAAGAAATGTTTTTCAAATAGAGAAAATGGGAAGGAATGAAGTAAAGACCTAATATGGTTTGTCTACGCTGCTTTTTAAATGATATATTTCTGAAATGACCAAGTCTAAAGTTACTTAAAACGCCACCTTCCTTCTCCGAATTTCGGTCAAGGCAGGCAGTCGTACAACAATGGTATTTCATGCCCTACATCCCATCACAATGGAAGTAACATAATAACCCCTAACTTTGTATCAGAAAAAGCCTACAGCCAAGTGTGTACATCCCGTATACATTGTTTCTCTCAACCTCTCTCTCAGCTAGGTAAGCGCTGGCAGTAAAACATGGAGGCGACGAAGGCCCCGAAACATCTCATAGTAAAAGGCAGCAAACCAAAACAGCGCACTGGGCGAGCGCAGTGGGCTCCCACGGCCCAGCCTCCTGCGCCCGCCCGGTAACGTTACTATTCCCACTACGATCAGCACACACAATACTACTGATAGGCGAAGGCACGTGAAGCCGAGCGCGGCCGATCCACGCGGGTGCTGGCTTCCTCCTCCGCGCCCCGCGTCCCTGTCCTTCCCCGCAGGTCAGGGAACATCCCACAGCGAAATGAGTAAGCGGCACACGCCGTCCTGCAACTTTGCAAGGCGGTCACCGGCCTTCCGCAGCGGCGCGAGGAGCCCGAGAGCGGAGCGACGCGCTGGCACCGGGACGGGCTGCCGGCGTGTGGCGGAGCTGCCGGGTGGCCGCCCGAAGGACTCCCTTCCAGTCCTTACCCGGGAGCGCGGGGCTCGCGCCCGCTCCGAGGCCACCGAGAGCGGCGCCGGCCGGCTGCGGCCCGAGGTGCCGGTCCAGCCGGCCCCAGGAGCGCCGGCGG